TCCTTAGATAGAGAACTACTAATTGGCTTTTATGTATGTGAATGTTCCTGTAAAGTGCCCTGAGACAACTTTATTGTGATTTGGCGCTATATAAATAAACTGAATTGAATTGAATTCTATAGATAGATAGAGAGAGAGAGATAGATATAGATAGATATATTTATAAATGTTTTTACTAACTTAAAAGTTACGAGTTGAATACCGGGTCATGTTTTTCTTTGTTTAGTTGTGTGTTCAGGTGACACCAGTGAGTCTTTACTTTGGTGAAGGGATGGTTGACCTGCCAGAAGTCGACAAGGAGCTGCTTTTGTCATCAGATACTTTTGAACCGTCTGTGGAGGGCACACAGGTAGCACACACAGTGTCTGGAAAATGAATAGTGGGTTAATGTGAAGGGGAACTGTGATTTAAGGAATGCAAGTCACAGCCTCTGTTTGTAGACAAAATCTCGAAACAAAACGATGCATTTCTCTAGCTGGTGTATACTATTGATTATAAATATACTGCTTTATAATACTACTGTCTGAATGGTTTAAGACAGACGGACATATTAGTAACAAAAAGAAATGGGTTTATGGTTGCTTGGTAGCTTGACTGTTCAGCTGGTGTTTGTCCTATGAGTGCACTCTTTCTTTTTGTGTTTCCTTCCCCCTCTCACTTCCATTTCCAGTCTTTTCTGAGTGTTGCTGCAAAGCTTTTATTCCCCACCGTTCATAGCTCTTATCTTAGCAGCCATACAGTCAGCGCTGCTGCCCCAGTGCATCACATGCACACAGTCTGTTTGCACGCTCGGATAAAACACACACACATCATCTCACTGAAGAGGGAGTTGCTGCCCAGCGCTGTCTAATGTATAGTCACTTTGCTGGAAGGTCACAGCTGGATGTTGGACTGTAAATAATTTGGTGGCCAATCAGTGAGCTGTTTAATGGATATTGGATCGCAAGATTGTCTCCGTCTTATGTTAACGAGAGGCTTGTTGTTGCACGGAACATAGGAAAAAGGGAATTTTACGTTGTTACTTTGATGCTGGAAAAACAACTTGGTTTTAATTTATTGTTCAATTAATTTTTTACATTGATTAAATGTTGACAGCAAAATTACATCATAAAATCTGCTTTTACAGGCAGCTATGCAAACTACACAATAAAATGAAGCAAGAAACTAGTTTATAAAAAAAAAAAAAAAACAATTTAGGACACCTAGAATATCTCAAGAGTTGACAAATATTTTTGCTTTGGCGCGTTAGCATGGTTTAGCATGGTGACATGGTGGGTCTGTAGGTGTCATGCTGCTTTAACAGGATGTAACTGTGACGTTCATAGGAGATAAAAAAAACTGCAAATATTCACAAAACATACTTTTATCTAGGAAGTACTAAAATGTAGACTAAGCGGAGTGTCTAGTTCTGTAGTTGAAGACATTTTGCTTCTTATCCAAGCAGCTTTTTCAGTTCACGAAAAGCTTCTCGAAGAGCACTTTTAATAACAAATAATATTTTACAGACACAATTTGATTTGGGGAAACGTAAAAAAAAAAATTGTCATGTTACTTTGCTGTAGCAGCTCACGCCAGCATCTGTCTGGATCGCTCCATTTTAGGTTCTCTTTAAAGCCCCTGTTTCAGTTCAGTCGTGTACATCTGACAAACCCAGCCTGCCGTGTGCACGACAGCAGAACATTCTAGTTTTAAAGTGTTCCAGCAGGAAGTAAACAAAATACTTCACATTTCCTGAGCCTGTCCTGAGTTTTACTGCAGTGTTTCCGTGTAGTTCCAGGTTCCTGTTCTGAAATCTGTGCTTTGTGATTCTACAAACCAGAACTATAGAAAGAAAAGAGAATTTCTGTAAGTTAAATGTGTTCGTAAGGACTGAAAAGATTCTTGGTGTCTCAGATTGAAGACGAAGGGCCGCCCGGCCTGGAGCTGATAGAGGAGAACGAAGTCATCCCTTGTTTACAGGTACGTTTCTACTGCTTTAACTCCGAGTGCGTTCTGTCAGAAACCTTTATTCTACGATTCTGTTTGCTGTTGTTTTATTTACATTCATTGCTCAAGATTAAGAATTTAAGATGTGTTAAAAAAAGGGATTGTATTGAAAGCTGAAACTAAAATGGCAGCAATAAAAGGACTGGAGAGATTAACAATCTCCACAATTACTGAAACAGTTTTTATTGAACTGTTTATTTGGAGTTGTAATGCCATGTCTAACTTGGATAAGGACTAAATCGTTAAAAAGTATACAGTAGTCCCTCGTTTGTCGCAGGGTATCCGTACCCTGAAGCCCTGCGACAAGTGAAATAACGCAAAGTAGTACAAGTAGTAAGAGGTAGACAGTGTTTCTAAACGCTCTAAAATTCCTGCTCTTAGCCACCTGCAAGCGTTCTTGGCCACGCCCACTTCTCCACTCTGCATGGAGAACAGCTGATCAGCTGCAGCAGGAAACTTGTCCTGCAGATTGAGCTGCACACAGGTGCTAAATAATTTAAAATAATTTATTTTAAATAAAAAGTCCATGCCGATTGTGTGGCTCATCCATCAATCAGCCAATTATGTGTCACGTCTAATCTTATTTTGAAAAACCGTGATAGAGCGAGTCTGCGATAAACGAACCACGAAGTAGTGAGGGACTACTGTTTTCATATTGAAAAAAAATAATAATAATTGTGTGTGTTTTCAGTTTTCAGTTTTGCTGACATTTGAATTTAACTAACTTGATCTGTTGAATAGATGGAATGAAATTAAAACTATTTTAACTCTTTATGTACTTTTAAGGAGATGGGTGCCAACCCGTTCTTTGCTCTACTAGATCCTCAAACCTTCAGCTCTAGTGAACAAAGTTCAGCTAATGAATCGCCTCCAACAAGTCCTGCCTCGACCACTCTTGGACCTGCAGATTCGCTCCAGACCAGAAAAAACTCACCACTCGGTGAAGCTGAACCTAAAGTAAAAAATATATATTTATAATATTTGTGTTTGAGTTTTTGTAAAGAAACTGTCTTTAAAACTAAAAACTGCTTTTATTTATTGTCTCTTCTTAAAGTAAAGTATTTGTCTTCTCAGACGGAGAACATAACTCCACCCAGCTCGGATCTCACCTCCTGCTGTCCACAAGAGGAGGCGCAGCCTGACTCCCATGACGACTCGTCACTCAGACAAATTTCCATCTTGAAGACGCTGATAAACACTCCTCACATGAAACGGGTCCAAGACTCTCCCCAAAGTACAACACGTAGGTTTTTATTTTTGTATATTATCACCAAATTTTATTATGAACCACCCACACTTTCATATAAACATTTTTACTCAAGTCTTGTCACCTCATGCTGATTGTTTTTTGTAAAGACACTATGAAACAAGTCTATATTTCCACATACCACATTTATTGCTACAGTCACTTAGCAGATTTCCACTGTGACCTTAATGCTTCTACATTAAATCACTCCATCTCTATCACTCTTTACACTCAGTGAAAAGCCTTCAATGAAAACAGAGCGTGTCCATGGATGCAGAAAGGGCGTATTGATTTCCGTCCTGCTGCTTCCAGTGGTGGATGTACCTGCAGTGAGAACTTGACACAGATCCAATTAGACCCGTTACCAGAGCTATTTGACCCAACAAGCTGCTTTCATTGCTTTTGCTCTGATATCGATGGACTGCTGCTCCTCCATCTGGCTTCTACTAGAACCATGTAAGCGGCGAGGGGGAAAAACAAAAAGGGAGGAAAGCAGGGTTGATTTATGTACAAAATAATTTTTTTGAAGTGTAACGTCACGAGACATACACAGCTTACACAGATAAAGATGGAAACTAGAATTGGTTCTGGACAGACTGGAATAAATGCCCGAGTGTGAAAGCGTTTCTTCAGACAGCACCATTTGCTGACTGTATTCTCCGTGGTTTATATCAGTTCTTTCTCCTCATACTTGGCCGTACCTTCATCACGATGCACCTGTCTTGATGCGGCTGCAGCTCGGTTTTGTCATCTCTGCAGAGTTGCTTCAGACAGATGGTTTGCTTTGTGGTAGTAGCTGGCTGTCATTCACAACACATACTCCCTAACAGATCATGCAGCTACAACTCAATTTCTCAACATAAGAGAAATTTAGTCTAAAAGTCTCACCTGAAAGGCAGTGGGTGTAGAGTTGCAGTCGGGCCCAAAGAAATCAGATCCGCCCCAGCCCGTATCCATCATTTCCGAGTCCCACCCAACCCGACAAATTAACAGTAATTACAGGTCCAAACCCGAAAAAAAAAAAACTCACCCCAGCATTTTTAATTAAGCTTTGACTGCTTATTGTTATTAACGGTCGGTGGACGCGCACGGCTAGGCAGAAGATCGGAGCTGAGGGGGTGTTTGTCCTTTCGTGGCCATTAGAGTGTATTAAATACCTGCTTCTGCCTGCATTCTGCATTATTCAGACTTGGACCCTGCTCTGACATGTCGGCTATTTTAGGATCTCACCTGTTTGGGTCGTCGGCCGCGCACGTCCGCTGATTGCAGCGGCTGAACGTCCATTTGTCTTTGATGGATCGCTGCCTGGCAGTATAGTCCCATCTGAAGCTTAACTGAATTTATTTTATTTTTTTTACCTCTTTCAAGGCCGTTCAGCGCGTGGTCAAATGGCCATGTGCGGCTGGTGAAGGTATGGCAAACCATGTTGCCATATAATTGGATCGTCAGCCGCGCGCATCCGCTGACGCAATCAAAAGCCCGACACCGACCTGCACATTGAGCACAGTATTATGGGTGCGGGTTAGAAATGACAGGTCTATGTGAATGAAATGCACCTCATCAGGGGCTGTTAGGTGTAAAATCGTTAAGATAAATGTTAAGAGTTTGATATTTTGAAGCACAGTTAATTTCAGCGTATTTTAGTAAATAATTTAAACCAACGTTGAATGTGTTGTTTTATTTTTCCCCCAGATGCTCCGGTGTTTCCTTCCTACCAGCGAAAGCCTGGTTTCCTGTTTCCGTTATTTGGAACCAGGTAGGCTCAACCGCTTCATGAAAAGAATCAAATCTCAGCAGAAATGAAGATTCACTTGTTCTGAGAAACGCTCTGAAGAGACTTTAGCTAACTTGGAATATTTTCACAAGAAATACAATTTTGTGTTTTAATGTTGATTAGTTTGATTGTTAAATATTAGTGTCGTCGCAGCCCTTTTCTAACAGTTAAGTTAAGAAAAGAGAGACAATGGAGGTTGTCCTTTCAGAAATTATTTTTGCAAAAAACATTGAAAGTTCAATTTTCTTTATGGTATTGTTATTTAGGACGGTGTTAAAACAGTTAAAAGTTCTGTTGCAAAAAACTAAAAAGTTACGTAATTTTATTTTGAAAATGAAACCTTGATGGAATATTTTTGCATTTTAATTTGTGTGTTATTCTAGTAAGTTGATGTTATGTTATATATATATATATATGTGTGTGTGTGCATGTATAAAAGTTTTGTTCTTATCTGTGCGTGTAACTTGCAGCATAAATTACATTTTACCTGAAAACAGTGGTTCTGTTGGCATTTAATGCTACTTTTCTGAAAAGTGATATCACAAAGTATATTGAATATTAAAAGCCACATGCAGAAAGATACATTTTTTTATTATTCAGATTTTGGCTGATGGCCTCTAACCTGTCTGATGTGGCTCCCTGACCTTTACAGCCTCAACTATTTTTCAAGACCTCTAACGAAAAAAAATGTATTTCTCACTCAGAAACAAAGAAGATTCATTATGTACCGTACACATTCACACAAACATCGTTTTTGATGCAAACACATTTTTCACGAGTGCTGTTTTTTGTTTTTTTTAGATGGAAACATCACTCACTGGAGTTCATGCCTACATACACTCATTGTTTTGGCAATTTCTTCGTTGGGAGACGCATGGTCTTTAAAACGCATTTCAAATTAAAAGAAAATGATGGTTTTTAACATCTGTGCTCACCGTCGCATGCACTCATTTATTAACGTCAGCACCCTGCGAAAAGCAAAGGCAAAGATGTAATGGAAGCCGTAGCTGGCTTCATACTCCATTAGTTTGTTTGTGTTGGTGGAGGAGGGTGAAGCTTGGAAAGACAGACGCTCAGGAAACCTTATTAAGGATGGGAGTAATGTGGTTGCAGCTGAATTAGCAGCCGACGGCAGCAGAGCATCTGTGTACCGAATGAACCGTGACGATCTGATGGCTTCGATACACAAACGAAACCTGAAACCAGACTTTCAGAATATGCCTTTGATTTGCCTACTAACACGAGATCAGGTACAAGTAATGATCTAGACGTTTGTCTTCAAGAATTACCCATCAACTGTTTTAGTTGGCAAAAATGCAAACTGGGTTTTCAGTAAGCCTTTAGGATTTCTTGAGTTTCAAATATGCATAAAACCTTGAGGCTGGAGGTGCAAAACTGTTTCGTTGTTTCTACAGCAATGAGATTCAAAAATTCTGAAACTGTCTCAGATAGTTTTAATGCACAAGGTTTACTTTGGATTTCCATGTAGAAGTAACAAAACTGGATAAACCTAAATGATTTGATTCATTTCAGTTTATTTATATAGCGCCAAGTCACAACAGGATCACTGAACAGAAACACTGATATATAAAAAAATAATAATTTAACATTATTTATCTGAGGAGCAGACTGCTTTGAATTTCACTCCATCGCAGAACTCTTATTTTGAACAAGCACGAAGGCGACAGTGGAAAGGAAAAACTCCCTCATGAGGAAGAAACCTTTAGCAGAACCAGGCTCAGGCCATCTGCTTCGACCGGCTGGGTTTGAGAGGAACAGATACACAATGGCAGGTCAAGAATCACATGTTCAAATAGAAATAGTATCAAATGAAAACTATTCAATTTTAACGATTCATTTAAGGAAATGAAGTCAATTTGTCCTCCAGTAGTCTAAGCCTATAGCATAACAAGCCAACCCTAACTATAGGATTTCTCAAAAAGGAAAGTCTTAAGTCCAGTCTTAAAACTGGACAATGTGTCAGCCTCACAGACAGAAACTGGAAGTTGGTTCTACAAGAGAGGAGCCTGATAACTGAAAGATCTTCCTCCCATTCTGCTTTTGGAAACTCTAGGAACCGCAAGTAAGCCTGCAGTCTGAGAGCGAAGTGCTCTGTTAGGAAAATATGGAACAATAAGATGTGTAATATAAGATGGAGCTAGGTTGTTGAGAGCTTTGTAGGTTAGAAGCAAGATTTTGAATTCAATTCTGGATTTGACAGGGAGCCAGTGGAGAGAAGTTAAAACTGGAGAGAAATGATCTCTCCCACTAACTCCAGTTAAGACTCTGGCTGCAGCATTTTGGATAAACTGAAGATGTTTTAAAGAAGTATTTGGACATCCAGATAATAAACCATATATTCAGGAATGTCAAGGTTAGCAGATAACATCAATCACAAAAACAAACATGCGGGCTAAGCGTTATGCAAGTATAGTAAAAAGTATTTAACATACGAAGTAGAGTAATCGTGTGCTCTTAGCCTTAGTTTTACATTTTCTGTTCACTCTGTTGAGTTGAACTTCAAAACCCTGCTTGTCAATTTACCATATTTGAGACTGAAACTTGTCATTTTACACTCAGTTATTCCCTTCCAGTCAGATTGTGTCCATCACTGCTACACCTCCACCTGGACGCAAGCGTTGCACCTTGTTTGCCAGCAGAAACCAGCTGCAGCTGAGCTTCAGGCTCAGTTAATGCGCTCTGGCAGACTCGGGACAGTTTCATTAAGCAATATCTATGGCAGCCACAAATAACGGATATGCAGATATGCCTGGCTTTATGCATTTGCTGTAGTGTCCTTGGTCCAGCAGCGCCATGCATCAAACCGTCCTGCTCGGTGACGGCAGAGACGATATAAACTATCGCTGGTTTTTCTTTGTCTCTGCAGACCTCTCTCTCTCTCCTTCCTTTCATCATTTCTCATTGCATAAATGTGCCTGTTCCATTCCTGTTTGAACAAGCATTATAAAGTAGTCGTTAAACACTGTACTGCATGTATACACGTGTGTGTTGGGAGTGTTTGCCCTGTAGTAAGCACTTCTAATCTGTAGTTAAAACCCTCTGTTCTCGTGCTACAATCTGTTCCACTGGTGCAGAAGACGGGATTTGTTCTGCAGAGAACCATCAGCTAAACAACGTATCTGGTATGACCAGGCTTAAACATATGCTTATATGGACATCAGAAGACAACAAGGGAGCGGTGTATTGTAGTAATCAACTACAGTCTTCAAACTAATGGATCAAAACCAAGACTCTGCCTTCACTGTATGCTTTCATCACATGGGGCCAACGTGTTCAACCCCAAACAGCATGTCCCAGATGTGCTGGTGCAAAAAGAAGTTGGGTAAAATAAAAAGATGCCCAAAAAAGAAGACGTCAGTCAGAGCAGAGTGAGATGAAATAACCTTCAGCAGGATGTAATTACGTTGTCACCATGTTTCTGGATGTTTTGTACAGGTTTTGTACAACAACTGCAAATGGCTCGCAAATTTAAAAAAGGGTGTTGAGTTTTTATGGATGTTTTGGGATAGTTCTGCATCGTGCGAGCCTGCCTCAGCTGTACTGATCATTTCAAATGTACTCCATTTATTGGGAAAAGCTACATATGTACTCTCTGTTTAGTGTAGATTAATATTAATAGCAGGCTGTTGGTAAGCAATGTTCAGCTGATGTTTTGTCTTCATTAGGGTGATGAAATGAGAGGGAACGCTGCTCTGAATGAAGAGCAGACAAGAACCGCAGGTCGCCTGATAAACGGCTTCACTTACAGTCGGCAATATAATGCTTAGTCATGATCTATCATCACCCACGTGGCTCTGCTGTTCCTGTACTCGCCTCAACATCTGCTGTTCTCTGCCTTTTTTCCTCTCTTTGTGTCCCCGCTCTTCAGTTTATCATTTTTATTCATACACTCTTCTTATGAGTGTTTGTGATTTTCAGTCATTTTATATTTCCAGAGATACAGTAAATGGATGTGGCGTCACGAATGTTTGTCCTTACTGAATCGCATCGAATATCGAATTGACGAGCAGAGAAATAAATCGCGTTACATTTCCCCACGAGATGCTGTAAGTGTTGTGAAAGTATCAGCTTTATTACTGAATAGAAAATGTAACTAGTGAATCTAATTTCCTAGCATTACCCTGTAACGCCATTACTAAAGGTTTGAGTGACCATTTGTCCTTTAAACTGATCTCACAATTGAAGTTGAACTAATTTTCCACAAAATGCCACACCTTTTCAAGAAGCTAATTAAAAAAAACTGTTGTTGACAATTCCTTTTACATAAACCTTGGCGTAAGTGTATAAATATGGGGGTAGAGCTAATGGACATGCCTGCAACCACCTATAGTGACTACCGTAATTTCCGGAATATAAGCCACAACTTTTTTCCACACACTGAGCACCACGGCTTATACAATGCTGCGGCTAATTTGTGGATTTTTTATGTTTTTTGACGGGCTAACGAGCTTTGTGCCGCCAAAACATGTAGCCTGGTCACACCCAGGTGCTCACATAGCTGCCCAATACATGTCTGTGTTGTGGGGTGGGTCCTCGTGACTCAATGAGACTACCTGTATAAATAAAGGTTAAAAAAATTCTGACCAGTGAAATTACCAAACAGGTCACAGTGGACCAATGAAATGGGAAGGGGGGGAGAAAAGGGGGGGGGGGGGGGGGGACTTCGTTAGGCACTGTTCAGAAAAAAAAAGTTTACTCTACATATTTATGTACTTCACTGGTATGTATTTAAGTAAAAGTTTTAAAAAAACATTTCTGTATAAATCTCATATTACAATGTGGACACCCACGGCTTATAGACCAGCGCGACATATATATGTACAAAATTATATATATATTTTTTTTTGATGTGGCTTATATTCGGGTACACTCAGTAGTCCGGAAATTAAGGTACTTGGAGAGAAAATGGGATGCATCAATTCTTTTGAACGTTTTCAAAGTTTTAGTGACAAGACTGTGAGCTTCTGTAATTATACAAGAACATTCAGAACCACCATAAAGCCATCAAAACATCCTGGATACTCCTTCGTCAGCTGGTCGCCTGCAGTTGCAGCACAATGAGAGACCGCCGTAGGACTCCGCTACATCACAGGTTGTGGCTACAAACGGTCACTCTGTAGTTTGAAAGTGTTTCAGCAGTGGGTTCTCTGAAAGGGTTGGGGTTAATAAATTGTTTTTTGGCAGTCTTTTTCTGTACGTCAGTAGCCGCTCAGTCTTCCCTTTGACGTCTGTCCTACTTTTTAATTATCGCTCCAGCAGTGAGTCGCTTCTTATTTTCCTCCATGAATCCTTGGTGTTGAGCTACGTCTTTGTCGTCATTCCCTCGCCGGTTTTACGTTTGAGTTTTGTTATTTCTTTGCTTTAGTTCAGTTTGTTTCAGTTCATGTGTTTGAGGTGCAACGTCCCCCCTGCTGTCTCTTGCGTGCTTGTATTTGGGCCCTGTTTCCCACCATCCAGCCTCGCTCTCTGACAGAAATTCTTCTGATCTGAGGATGCAGTGGACCCATCATTTAAAGCAGCACGGTGGCTTAGTGATCAGCACTGTTGTCTCACAGCAAGACGGTCCTAGGTTTAATCACCGGGTTTGACATTGGGTCTTTCTGTGTAGTTTGCATGTTCTCATGTTTGCGTGGGTTCTCTCTGGGTACCCCGGTTTCCTCCCACAGTGCAATACCATGCACATTAGGCTAGGCCTGTCACAATAGCAAATTTTGCTGGGCGATTGTCTCAGAAATTATTGCGATAAACGATAATATTGTTTGAAATTTGGCAATAATTAGTAATTATTGTCAAATTTAAGAAGAAATGTTTGTTAATTTGTTTTGTATGTAGAACCTTTTTTCAGCCACCGTATGGCAGTGTAAGACAGTTTGAACCGAAGGATAGTGAGGGAGCGAGCAGCGTGTCTTAAGAAAAACGGGAGGGAGGCCTCTTGACGTGACATGCACTGTTTCTCTCCGGTTCTCAAAATGGCGTCCACTCGGTGTGGTTTGAGCTCTTTAGCATAGCATTTTTCACACAAAGCTTTTAATTTAAAAAAATCAGTAAACAAGTTCTCAGCTTCTTTTTGCAGAGAAAAACAACTTTTTGCACGAAGGCAAAGATTTCAACCGTGAATTTTGGAGTTTCGACAAGACGGAGGTTTTTTTCCTGAGGTCGGCCTGTTAGCTCCTAGTTTAGCGTCACAACTTAGCTGCTTTTAACAATCCAAAAATTTGATTTTGGTTGGTTAAAACCGATTTTAAAGAGAAAGGGAGGGGTCAGTGAAGAGCAACGGAGTTGAGCTTTTGTCGTCCGGTGTCTTCAGTAAAAATAGAGACGAAGAAACGATAAAGCCGATAAATGAAAATGAGGTTGATAATTTTCATTTATCATGCGATTAATCGATTTATTGTTTATTGCGACAGGCCTACGTTAGGCTGCCTTCAGACCAAGGCCTCCCTTAAACAAAAGAGATCTGTGACCTCATTGGGATTTGCTTGGTTAAATAAAGATTATAAATTTTGAAAAGTTTTAAAATAAGCACCACTTCAATAGCTTTTCTCACTGCCTTTTGGGATAAACAAGCCAAGCTTACTCAAACTAGAAAGTGATGATAAAAAAAAGAAGTGTTAACAGTGGATGATTTTGATAAAAAAGCCCAGTTATGAAAAAAAAAGTGTTTTTCATGTATTGTGACAGTTTCATGGACAAGAACAGTGAAGCACAGAGTTACAACCACTGCTTTTCATTATTCGTGTCAACAGAAAAGGTTACTGAAGTTCTACATTTTAAAACTGATATTTGCTACCAACTATCTCGAGCAAGCATTCTGGTAGTTGTTTATCAGAGCTGCATTCTCATTGTTAAATGCCTTTAGGCAGATTCTCACAGTTTGTTTACAGAAATTATGTTCGTTGGTTCACTGCCTCACACTGAACGCTGCAGCCGGCGCACAGCCACTCAGAAAATAATGAAGTTGGGAATTAGCTTCGTGTTAGAGCTGCCTCGCTCTGAAACAACTCAGCAGTCTTCACTTTGAAAACAACGCTTTCACGTCTTCATGCTGCATGACCAAGTTGCTTAATTGATTTGTGAAATAGGTGATATATTAGTTGTGTGGTTTTTTTTTTTTTTTTAGGTTTAAATTTTTTTTTATAATCTGGGTACCGTATTTTCCGCCGTAAAAGTCGCATCAGTCAAAAAATGTCTAATAAGGTGAGAAAAAAAACATTAATAATAATAATAATAATAATAATAAATGTAAGTCGCATCTTTTATGCATCATCACCCGGAAAGGTGCTTGCTGGTGTGCAAAAAATCAATTGGCTGCCAAAATGACGGCTGTGGGAGCATGCACAGTAGGACTTTCACAAGAATTTAACAAGAATAACACTTAAAAACAATTATTTGTTTGCTCGAAATTATAGCAAAGGTGTGTCTCGGTTTAACTTTTCCTTAATAAATGCACTTTAATGGTGAAATCAGCTGCATTTCGCCTGGGCGGCGCAGCGAAATGCAGCTGATTTAATGTTTGCTCCAGGAGTTCTGGAGCGAGACGAAGGTGGCTTAGTATGGCAAGCCAAGTGTCTCATTAATAGCCATTTTTACCTATTAATGACACACTTGACTTGCCATCAGACTCGATGACCCTCTAGCAGCTGGAAATGGTAAAGTTTAACATTTGTCATGTC